AAGACCTAAAAAAGCCAGCTGCATGTGAAAGGAATAAAGCAGCAATCATGTGTTCAGTCAGTTCATCAAATGATAGCAAGGCAGAATTATGTAGGAGATACTAACATTATATCCTTGAAAAGTGAGAAATACAGTAAGATGGCTACTTGTTATGATCATTAGGTGATAGGAAATGGAGTCTTGAATAGGTAAATGGTGAATGTTTAATTGAAATTGAGGGAGCCACAGAGACAAGGGTAAGGGCAACAAACACATGGTTGGTTCAGTGAAAAATATGATTATGCCTTTAGTTTATGTAAGACACACTAGTTTGAGCCCAACTAAGAACATAGACATGTACATTCAACTACAACTAAAGTTCTGCAGTTTGTTGGTTCCCTCAATTGAGAAGCCAGCCTTGGTAGATATGTTTCTATTCTCTCGAATTCTTTAGATTGGAAGATTTAGATATTGTCATCGATGCTCAGCAATTCTTCCCCATATTCTCTTAGGAAAGCAGTTATTGTTCTAAGACTGACTTAAACACCGATGCAGTTGACTCTTATCCACAACTCCAATGAATCTTCACTATAATGGACTTAAAGTACAGTCACAAGGAAGAAGAAGAACAATCTAACCAAGCTAATAGGTTACCTTATCTCCAGCAGCAAGGATTACTAGTTGGCCATCTTCTGCAGGCTTCTTGCTACCAGAAACAGGAGCTTCAAGGAAGTGACCACCCTTAGCCGTGATTGCCTGTCAATCCAACCGAGTAGTTAATAATACCTATTGTATACCAGCACTCACCAGATTCAATCAATTGCACCAAAATAACTGCAGAAAAACAGAAGAACCTACAGTCAAATACTATAGTTTTCTAAGAAATTCGGAAATCTTCCTATTATCCATGATCTTTAGCATAATATTGATAAAAACCATCAGGTGAAAAAATTGGATCTGAGTAGCACCATTATAACTTTAAATTAATGTATCATATTATAACATCAGTGTTACATCTGACACCTAATAAAAAGTTCTTGTCTGGTCAAGTTACAGAGCAGTTTTGAACGATGAAAGTTGTTATACTAAATGGGATACCAACTACTCCATCAGTATTACATCTAACTCTAGAAACTGCTGAAACAAATTCTTCATATACTAAAAAGGAATGATGTAAAGAAGATATTCCATCTCTTCCAAGTGAACATAAGGGACTTTTGTTTTGAAGACAAGCATGCGTGTCAACAATCCTGCATACTCGTGCATCAAACTAGAGTGCTATATGTTCATTTTGTTTTACAAGGACATTATTTTTCTAAAAACATTTTTAGCATCTAGAGAATTTAAAGAGTGATGCCTATCAATCAAGTAATAAATCAAGTAAGAATCTGCAAATTCAAAGAAATTGGGGAATATAACTGAAGTAACAGGAGAGAGACTGAGGAGAATTAGACTGCAACGCAAACCTCACTGATCTTAGAAGAAGTTTCAGGATCAACGGTTGACATATCAATGTAACCTTTTCCACTGCAAATTTCTTCAAGGACACCATTTTTGTCAAACACCACCTAAGCAAAAGCCAAAACAAAACCAGCCTATTACGGATGCTTAAATCACATGTGCACAAGCTGAAAAAAGCACATAACGAATTTGAAGTACCAACCGAAAGAGCAGCAGAAGGATCCGATATCATTGCAATAGTGTACTTGCACTTTTTGATTACTGCTGCTGGGGTCTCCCCAATTGTAGCCCCATACTCCACTAGTTCATTACACTGTATTTCACAATTATCATCATGTAGAAATTAAACTATTAGCCACATCCACATAATGAGACTCAAAAGCAACAACTCTCCTATTTCCTTATATTAGCCAAACAGTCTCAGGTTTCCCAAGATCATACCTAAATTTAGGCCTACGAGGATTGATTGCTTCAATCAATTCATCTATAATCTTCCATTTCTTCTTACTTCAACAATTAATTTCCACTTTTTGTTATAATCATCTTGTAGTCAAAATCAAGCGAGAAATACTATCATAAATAGACATATGAAATGTAACAGCAAACAGGAATTATGAGGAATACAGATAAGCTAACTTTAGTGAACAAAACTGCGAAGCAGAATACCAGTTCAGTAAGAAACTAAACAAAGAAAAAGAAAACTCATTAATATTACCAAGTGTTTCCGATAAAAAGGTACCTTGGAGAGGGTCCTGTTCCACACAGTAACCTTGAAACCATGCTTAAGCAGATTCATTGACATGGCCTTGCCCATTATCCCTAGCCCCAAAAACCCTACCTCCATCTTCTTTCTTCTTCTTCTTCTTCGCCTTCCTCTTCCTCTTCTTTCTCTTTCCCTCTCTCTCAAGTCCTCTTCCTGTAACCTAAATTCAACTAGAATACAGATTAGAGAACAGTGCAGTACATTTACAGGCAATTATTTAAAATAAAATGGAATTAATTATTGTTAATGTGGTAAAAAAATGATTAAGAAAAATCTGCATTCCATTATCATCGTAAAATCAATGTTTTAATTCTTTATGGACAATGATGGATCCTGTTTTTGATGATTGGATGGATGCGTGCCACGTCATTCGCCTGTGATGCAAATATGAATCTGATCGGACTTGCTGGCCAATCAGCGATGGCCACGTTGCTGAACCTTACACGTTGTGCACGTGCCAAATGTTACTGTTATATTCTGCAGGCTAACCACTGGCCCACATGGACCATCTCGATTTGCTTTACCAATGTCTTCTTTCCGCTTTGAATTTTTAAAATACATATTAAAATTTGGACAGATTAAATATTATCATATTTAACCAAAATATTACTTTTATATTGCAATTATATAAACATTATATCTCTATCCTGTCTTATATAGAAATTACAATTTTAAAAATTAATTATATAATAATAAATTATAATTAATTTTGTTTTTATATTATTAAAATATTTTCATCTTTAAAAATCATATAAAATTATAATATAAGTGAATAATATTTAAAATTATAATAATCAGATTAATTTCATTTTTATATTTTGAAATTTAAATAAGTAATATTTAAAATTTCGTCTTTATATAATTATTTATAATTAAAATTAACATTTTATTTTTATTTTTAAAAAATATATCATAAGATGTTTCCGATATTCTAAATTTCACTGTTAATAAAAATAAATTTGGTTAATTTTGACATAGAAATATGTAAACTATAAAAAATAAAAAACTGGGCCTGGGCCTAACAGAGGCCCATAGCTTAGAAACCACGCCCCTGATTTTTGAATTATAAACCTTTACTCCTGCATCAAATCACATTTATGACTTCACTTGCCTGGGCTTCGCCTTCGCTTTCTCCCTGCTCCTCAACCAGTCCCGCCTGTGCTGGGAACCTCAACTTCAGTTCTATACTCAAAATCTCAACGGTCGCTTCAGTTTCAAAGTTTAGTAAATATTGTACTGTCAATCCAATTCTGGAGGAGATGAAGAACCAGAAGCTGGAAAAGAAATCCAGGAAGATGCCACATTTGGCTACTCAACAGCAAGATGAACAAGACGCTGGAGGAGATATTGAAGATTTATTCAGCGAACAAGAAACCGTTAAAACCAGGGAATCTTTGTTGGAGTGGTATGACAAGAATCAGAGAGATCTTCCTTGGAGAGTTAGTGAAAAAGACCTGTTAAATATGAAGAATGATAGTAACAGCGACAAAGGAGGAGGAGGAGGAGAAGAAGAAGAAGAAGGTAAAGAAAGGAGAGCGTATGAGGTGTGGGTATCGGAGGTAATGCTACAGCAGACGAGGGTTCAGGCCGTCATTGACTATTACAACCGTTGGATGCAGAGATGGCCCACTGTTCACCACCTCGCTCAGGCGTCTCTCGAGGTAATTTGTTGTTAGCTTTGAAATTTCAGTTGATTGATTGGGTCTTTGATTCGAGTGAGGTTATTGTTTTATCCAAGTAATGAAGCGCATTATACTGTAAGCAATTGGAAAAGAAGCTCCTCGACTTGCTCTTTAATTGGTTGAAAAAGAAGCTTCTTTACTTTTTCTGTCTTTCTATATGTTATTTACTTAATACTTAATTGTTCGGTTTGGTACCCAACAATGTAAGCTTTTGAGTTTGTCTTCTATCAAATGCTGTGCAGGAGGTAAATGAGATGTGGGCGGGTCTGGGATATTATAGGCGAGCACGTTTTCTGTTAGAGGTGAGCTTAGCTTGGATGTTGTTATTTTGTCTGTATTTTTCTTTCTCTTGTTTGACGCTTCATTTTGGGATACTTTGCTGTTAAATTGGGTGAGAGAACATTTTTAAGTTCTTACAAATTGCAATTTGGTTCACGTTCCATCAATCACATGAATCTTGTTTACATTTAAGTCTTAAGGAGGTTTTGGAAACGATGTACTAAGTCTTAGATTTGCTTCTAGTATGCATTGTTATTATTATTCAGTTAAGGTTTTTCCGTTTCTTTTTATTTTAGTTTGAATTGCACCTCAAGGATTTGAAACTGTTGACATATTTATCAAGGAACATTGGAAGTTGCACTTGTGATCATGTTTGTGAATGATATAAGTGACTAAAGTAGCTTTAGAAAATGGGATTTTCATAGCCAATTGCTATTTTTGGCGAGTACATAGGCCGTGGCTCTATTTGGACTGAGTGCTGTAGCTCCAAATATAGTATAAGAATCATCAGAGTGTTTTACTAGTTATGCTTATTGTATGGGTAACTAAGAGTCCTGTATTAATTTGACTTATATTTCCATGTACTCTGGCATATGAAGGGTGATATATTTCTCCATTTCTATTTCCCTTGGTTATATCACAGAATGTACAACTAGATTGCCAAATCTAGAGAAGGGAATGAGCGAAGAAAATGTGGAACTTGTTATCTTTATCTGGAAAAGCCTGAAATTACTTAACAATAACTCTTTCTTGATGGTAGTCATTCTTCTATTTTTAAAATGAATATTCCCTGATCTTTTTGCTTCTTTGATCATGCTGTTAGGGAGCAAAAATGATTGATGCAGGGAAAGCTGGATTTCCTAGTAGAGCTTCTGACTTAAAAAAGATTAAAGGAATAGGAGACTACACAGCTGGAGCAATTGCTTCCATTGCTTTCAAAGAGGTGGGTGAGCTATGCAAATCTATTGACAGATCATATAAGGGAAATCTTTCCAAGGTTTACTATTTCAGGTGGTGCCTCTGGTTGACGGGAATGTTGTTAGAGTGCTTGCTAGACTAAAGGCTATTTCTGCAAATCCAAAGGATAGAGTGACTATCAAGACCTTTTGGTGAGCTTTCAGTATTTCTTATTATCCTGTTATTTTTTTCCTAGGAGGGAAACTTAGTTTACAAGATTAAGTAGTGAGGATAATTTTTGTTGTTGTTTCTGTTCAATTATTTAGTACATCTAAAGATTTTCCATTTCAGGAAACTAGCTGCTCAGCTTGTTGATCCTTCCCGGCCAGGGGATTTCAACCAATCAATTATGGAACTTGGGGCAACTCTATGCACTCCATTAAATCCTAGCTGCTCCTCATGTCCTATTTCTGACCAATGTCGTGCACATTCAATCTCTAGACAAGATAAGTCAGTTCTGGTGACAGATTATCCTGCAAAGGTAGTAAAAGCCAAACAAAGACATGACTTTTCCTTTGTTTGCGTGGTGGAGATATTGGGAAATCCGTGTACACCAGGGCAAAATCAATCTGACAGCAGATTTCTTCTCATAAAGAGGCCAGATGAGGGCTTGCTAGCTGGTCTTTGGGAGTTCCCGTCTGTCACATTGAATGAAGAAGCTAACTTAACCATGAGGAGAAAAGCAATTGATAATTTTTTGAAAAGTTCATTTAGTCTTGATGTGAAGAAAACATGTATAGTTCTTAGAGAAGATGTTGGACAATTTGTCCATATTTTCACTCATATTCGTCGGATGATCTATGTGGAGTTATTAATATTACACCTTAAAGGTTTGAAATCTTTCTATCTTAATTATATAAAATTTCTGCATGAAAATTTGAAAGAAGCTTCATGATAAGATGACGATTTGAAATTATTTCCTCAGAATGCTTTCTCAGCTTTCTTGCATATAATTATCTTCGGATCCTTTTTTTTTTCCATGAAGGTGCTGTAAATGACCTGTTCAGCAAGCCGCATGAGGAAACAGCTTGGAAATGTGTGGACGGCAATGCCCTTTCAAGGATGGGACTGACATCTGCAGTAAGAAAGGTAAGCTAGTCACTTCAGAACTCAAAATTTGTGTGGACCAATTGACCGTTTTTAGCATATAATTGTTAAGTTCGTGTGGTGATGGTTTCATACTGTAATTTTACATGCAATCAGCTTTACTCTTTTTGCTTGAATCTCTCCCTTCTCTCTTGAGTTCTTTTCTATCTCTTCTATGCATAAGGATTAACTTTGTGAATGGTTCAACTTTATTTTAGTCTCTTTCAAATTACTAGATTTTGGTTATTTAACATGTAGAAGCCAATCATAATATATCTGATGTATGCTTAAACTAATTTTACTTGTATCTTTAATTTGAGACTAGAGATCTGTATTCTCACTTCTTAACAGGCATCATATTTTTTTTTTAAATGGCATCACAAAAACAACTAACTTAAATTGGAGATTGAATTGGCTTTGGCTTAAAATGCGGTTTTGTTCAGAATTTCATAACATTTATATGGTATTTGATTCCTATAATAGAATTGATTTTTGTGCCAAAAGCCTAGTAGAAAAGCATTTTACCAAGCACCACTTCCTGTGACCTTTTTGGTTAATTTTCCATGCATGTCTAACTAATTCTTAGTTCTAATTTTTATAGAGGTTTTTGATATGCATAGTCATGGTGCAATTTGTATGTTTGAGTTACCACATTCCACGACTTTGACTTGAATTATTTGAAGATGAGAATTCAATTTGTACTCCTCAAAGTAAAAACTAAATTCTCATTCTCCAAAGAACTCAGGTTGAGAATTGGGTAATTCGGACTCGGCAAATCATATTCTTACTACGGACTAATAAGACTAAGATGGAAAATTGGAAGTATGAGTTAGTCAAAAGATGAATGGACAATGAACAAAAAGTACCTTGGTACTTTGTGAAATGAGAAAAGAAAATAATACTTTTCTTTTTCTCTGAAAAATAGAGAATCATTGAAAAAAGAAATAAAACACAATTGATGGATCTTCATCAATTTCCACTGTGCTTTAAGTAAGGTATCCAACCAGATATTTAACTATATAAATGATGGTTGCATAATAGGTAACTTTCAAAAGGCTGTAATCTCTTAAATTTCATAAACCTTCCCTGGCATTTTGTTCTTTCTTATTTCTCGATCCACCAGAATGTCTAACTTTTCATTACTGCTAAATGCACTTATCCAACCTTGGATATTCTGTCATTTTCTTGCTTGTCTCGCTGCTCATATGCTTCATTATCGCCTTTTGATCGTAGGTATACTCAATGATTCAGAAATTCAAACAGAGTGACGTGGCCCATAGTTCCACCAAGAGAAGAAAAAGAATCATTTGAAGAAATTGGAACTCGTCCTTGTTCTTTTTCTGCTGCACCTATTAGAGAAAGGCTTCATCTTGGAGTTCAGCTAACAAGAATTTTTATTAGATTATTTTTTTCTCCCTTCAGTCACTTCTTAGTTTCATCTATGAGATGTATGGGATGCATTTTGGTCACTGAAACCTCTTCAGCGTAGGTACTAATAGGTTAGAAACCATGTTTTTTTTTCACCTGAAAATTTATAGAGCAAAAACTGTCTACGGCCATGTAATTCATTTAATATATGTTCTATAAGTATACCTGAAATGAGACTTGGGAGACCACATTTTATTTATCAAACATCAAGTGGGAGAGTTCTATGGGCCTACACTGTAATGATCAATCAGTAATAAGCATTGCATACAATTCGGTATAAACAGGATTAGACAAATTTATTGAAGTTGACAAACAATTTATTAAAGAAAAATTTGATGTTTGTCTATTATGTGCTCTGTAGATATAATTCACAGTTGATGTGTTTGACTAAAAATTTAAGTAATTTAATATTTTATATTATTATTGACAAGTTGGAGATAGATAATATCTATTTTTCAACTTGATGAAAGGTGTTAGAGAGAATGTATTGTATGTAAATTAGGTTAGTGGCATAAGAATAAGATGCATTTTTCGTAATTGATTGTTTTTTTTTTTTTTTTTTTTTATAATGTTTTGGAAAACATCTGTGATATTCAATAAAATATTTAACAAATATATTTGTCTATACAACTGGTTGGCAGCTCTTTTTAGCAATGAAAATGTTGTAAATCTGAATTGATTTTGTTGAGATGTAAGCATATTATTTGTCACTGGAAAGTACTGAACTGGATCATATCCTGTCCTACGAGCACACGGTTCAGAATTTGGATTTCATCCTATGGTGCCCTTCAACTCTTACAGCTTTATACATATATTGATTGTTTTAACTCTGAATATGCAGATATTTTACTAACATGTCAGGTTTTGATTTGTCAGATTCATTGTTGACTTGGTGATATAGGTTTATGGTATAATTTCTCGGCTGTACTTATTCCTCTTTTCAATTTTCAGTTTTTGGTTGTTTATGAATGGACCGCTTATTGGCTGAGTATTTATTTCCTCTATTATTTATTTTGAGAAAAATCAATGTGAAAAAAAGGAAAGGAAAATGTAAGAAACCAGTGGCATGTATTACCCCAAAACTTTCTTGTGGATCAGAAGTGTCTTGTCCTCTCTTCTTCAGGTTCCTCTCTTCTTCTGCTGTACGTCCATCAATCCTCTGTTATTTCCTCGAACTAAAACAACCCAGAAAACTAAACTAAAAGAAAAGACAAAGCAAAGAAGAAGAGAAATGTTGCACCATTGAACAGGAAGAAAAAAATAGGACGTTGAAATTAGCAAAAGGCTATCTTTACTGATACATAACCTAAAAAATGGCAATCTTGGGTGGAGGAGGAATAGGAGTTTCAAGCTTCTCATACCCATCTTCACAATTCAGTAGGAAAGCCAGGGTTGCATCCTCTTCCTGCTTCCTCACACTATCACTGGTATGAAATATGTGCTCCTTTATTGCTGTACATGAATGCTTTCTATCTTTGATGGGCGGTCCTTTTTTCTTACCTTTTTTTTGGGGATATTCCTTATTTTGAAAGCTTGAACCTAAGGATATTAAAATGCCAAAGAGAGGATTGTGCTATTGCATTCAGTAGGTGCAATTTGATAGAATCAAGACTTACTAAATATGATATTGCTGCGTTGAGTCATCTTTCATATTCAATTTTTGGTTTCAATTTGCATTTTAGTTTTACAACCAATAATCAAAATCTTCTTTATAAAAAAACACTAAGTTGGGGTGAGAATTTAATCTTAAAACAGAGAAATTGAATTCTGTCATCGAATAACTCAAATATAAGAAATCATATTAAACTAGAACTAAAGTTTATGAATCATCAATAGAATCATTATCTGAATTGTCAAGTAACTTATCGTAGCTAGCACCAACTGATTTTCTTTTGTTGGTGACCCTTTTTGGCAGCTGATGGTTGGTAAATCTGCCAATAAACATGGATGTAATGTTTGTTCTGCTGTGCAAGAATCCTCCTCTTCTGCAGCTGGTAAGTTCTATTCTTGTTTTCTTAATGAAAGGTCTTGTTTCAATCTAATTGGATTCAATCTATCCAAACATTAATTTACCACATAGTTCTTTTCTTTTTCGTTAATGGGTTATGTTCTAGACCAATAAAGATTAAGTTAGACTGCTTAATCCAGAGGTCTGGTGGTTATAATATATATATGTATAAATATGTATATGAATAAAGTAGTTGTGATTGTAAATGAATTTATTTGTTAAAAAACTCTGTTCTTCTTAGCAGTAGCCACTGAGAAGAAGGAAGTGAAGAAAGAGGAAAAGGCAGCACCGGCTAAGCCTAAACCTCCAGCAAAAGCACCTGTAAAGACACTACCTAAGATGATGGAGGAAGATATCATCCCTTCTCTCAAAACTATTCTTGAAGCTCAAGAAGATATATCTCAACTTGAATTATCTTTCCAAGAAAATAAGGTATTTGTCTTCCTCTATCACTTCTCTTTATAGACCTGTCTACTTCTTTAACGAAGAAAATAATCTAAAATTAAAGTAGTATATAGCTCACACATCATCATAACCATAATAAGTCAAAAGCAACAGCTTATATCTGTATTACTTGGTTATTAAAGCAATTTGCCCGATATCTGGGAGAAGTTCTGATTCATGTTTCTGGGTTCTCTTTTTCTGCTTTGTTAATGGAAATAACAGTTGGAAGGCTCCTTTCTAAAGAAGAGAAATCCCTATTCATTTTGGGCATTCTTCCCAACCGGAACCCTTACAGGTACTTGGTGTTATGCCAAAGTTCTGATACACAAATTGACCCATCATTACTCTACTTTGCCTGTAAAATAAACAACGACCTTATCCCTGCTTGGACAGGTCCGAAAGGTTTTTCACTCTCTTCCTATGGCTCTGAAGCAAGCACTGTTGAACCCTTTCTTGTTGATGAGAAGAAAATTACAGCCAAACATGTTGTCTTTTGGGTTGAAAAGCGGTTGGCTGCACAAGGGATTATTCCTGTTTGGAAAGACTGATTACCTGTAAATTTTCCAATTCATTCAGGTGTACTATAATCCCTTATTGCATTTTTTTTTTTGGGTTCTGCCTAGAATACATCATAATAAAATTAACACATCAACAAGATCTACTTCCATTAAGCCTGTAAGAATGCAAACAAACATGGCAATAAAATTATCAGATGATCAGAGCAACAAGGTGAAAATTTGCTGCTTTGCCCATTTTGACATTGCAGCCTAATTTGCAAAGATTATTCAGTCATGAAAAGCTACCAAACATCCATAAAAAGAAAAGCTAGCAAACATTCATTTATTTGGCATGTATGCACGGCTATAACTAGTCATAGATATTGTACTTAGCATCAATGCACGAGCCAAATTGGTATATATAGGGAACATAAGGTCTGTATAAGTAACACAACTATGTGAACAAGTGCTTCTCACATAAATCACATATGGCCTAAATAAATAGCATTTCCAGGTCACTAAGACCACATACAACAAAGACTGATGATTTAGATCCATGGGAAAACTTCACGTCAGTATAGGGTTAGTTGTCAGAACTAGCACTGCTGTTGCGCATTGCACGTCGAAGTTCACTCAAGAAATCCATCTGTGAACCAGATGAAGGTCCAACACTGTTTGAGGAAGACATCATCTGAAGAAGGAAACCAAAACCGTATCATGCAAGAGAGGGATAGCAGGAGAGAAGAGGTGCTAAGAAATGCTGGGTAAAACAGTTTTCACCTGATGAGGAAGTCTAATATGTCCCCATGCTGATGCATTACTTCCAGAATACATAACTGGTCTTTCTGAAATAGAAAAGAGCATGTTATATATAAATCAACCATCCAGTGTATGTATCTCTCTTTCTCTCTCTCTTATAGATATGAATCATGTTTTGAATACATCTACCAGATTACACAGACCAGACCAAGCTTCTTTTCCCCCCGGCACATCCTATCCTCTTTCCTTTTCCCCTTAGGGTCACAAAGTAATGAAAACGGGAAGCGGAGGAATGGAACAACCAAATTGAAAAGCAATTGAAAAAACACCTGAAATAAAAACATCCATCTTTATTTATCCTTTCACTCACCAGATAAATCTATTGACGTGTTATTGTAGAGATGCAATGCAGCAGCCCAACCTGTATTTCAAGATACAAGAAGTTATAAATTGAAAGAATAGCAAACAGTGATTCCTCAAGAACTACAATGAATTAAGCATACAATTTTTTATGAATACCAAATGCAATATTATGAGCATAACTCCTCCTCAGCCCTTGAAAGTAGAATTTACATTTAAAAAACAAAACTCAACCTGGCATCAACCAAAGAATTCGGGCTGAAGTATATAAATATCATTGAGTGTATTTTCTCATTTGCATATTGGGATATGACACATGACGAAATTCAGATCACATTTGTTAGGCACTAATTCAAGTAGGCATTTAACAGAAACTCTAATATTTAACATGAATAGGAGCAATACTTCATTTAATCCTTGCCTTAATGGCACTATTCTGCAATGAGGAGACTTCATTTTGCATTGTTAAGCAAATTTTAGGTTTAGTCTTCTTCTCTATGACCAAGGTCAAACACCATTCATGTAGATGATTGACAGCTCCAATGTATTAGATCTTAGCAGTCCAGAAAAAAATAACATAAAACAGAAAATTAGCAGCCCACACCCTTAAATTTAATGAATATACGACAGAAGGAACAGATTAAGCCCATACGTTCGGTTAAAAGCTGAGAACCTTCACTTCTACAGCATCCATCCAGAGCAATTAACCGGGTACGAGGATTCTCATTCAGAAATGTACTGCTCCCTGCATCTCCATGATCCAGAACTGGAAGACTTCTTGAAGTGATTGGATAATTCTTCTCTCCATCATTTCCATAACTAGGTCGATCAAACCGATCTACAGGATTTGATTGAACTTAGTTGCACAGAAGAATTTCCAACTCAGTATGCATAAACAATTCCTTATAATGAGAGCATCAATTAATGTCCTGATTCCCATAGCATTTATTATCTAAACAACAACAAATAACAAAGACACAAGTAGAAAGAACTATGTGGGGTTTATTAATGTACAAATCCTAGAGATAGGAAGACTCAAGTCTAATAATGGCCTGCGAAGTTATAGTTCGTTATGGGAAATAATCAACAGGACAAACAAATTAAAGCTGACACAAGGAATCACAAACACGAGCAGGCATGAAAATGTCATGTAAGTGATAATGCCAAAGAAGGAAGTACAAATGCAAAATTATTAGGAAAAAGACTAGTTCAAGATCAAAAAGAAAAAATAATTACGAAATCATCATCCACACTTGTTTTTTTGAATTAAATCATCATCTACTCAATGAATAACCAACAGCAAAAAAGGTTCAAGATCAACTAAACATTCTGAAGTTTTTCTGTCAGTTGCACTGAAGTTTTACATCTGGTAAGTATCATAACATAATTTGTTTTGAATATATCCAGAGAAGACAATTGGATCAGTTTCGGGAAAAGGCCACTTATCTTCACATATTATCAAAGTATGTTTAAAAAATATTAGGTACAACTGAAACTTTGCACTGAAAAGTTGCACTCTAGCTGAGTCAAACAAACCGTAGCATACAAGATTCGGCTTAAATTAATTATTCCTAATAGACAAAGGAGTTCTTCCATTATAACCAATAGATAGAGAACTGAAAAATCTCCTTTCAGATCTCATTAGGCCTATGCAGAATGCCATGAGGAACAGAAGAATATTCCCTAGATATATTGCCATTATAGGCGATTTACAACAACATAGCAACTAGTTTATTTTTCCCCTGAAAGATCAACAATTAGTTTGAGAACTATATGAGAGATAAGAAAAAAATCAATTCACTGTTGCCTAACATGGACCATCTCAATTTTAAATATCTGATACTTCAAAGTGTAAAGTCTAAGAAAAATGAATTTGGTCTCCATGCCCTGAGCCCACCACCAAACTTAACAGGCAAAAACCTAGGGCCTTAACCATCCATGTGGTCAAGCAACTTCAATAAATCCAGTACCAAAAATCAGTGGAAATCTACAAGCATTAATTGTTCCATATCCACTAAAACATCTGTCTTGATAACTTTGTGGAGCCATATTATAGGCTTATATCGTTGTCATGGGTTTTTAACCATCAATACATGTATGAGTCCTAAAATATTAAGAGTGTAAATTTTCAAAAAGGAATCTACTTCAACAGGGGCATGCGATTTGGACATAAATGTTTGGACTACTCGGTGCTTCTTTCACTCAGCAGATTGGGTACAGAAGAGAGCACAGAACAATAGCTAACCAGGCCTTGACTTTGAGAAGTCCATAACAAACAAAGACAAATCTGAATGAAGAATTGGAAGAAGACATGTTTTAAGCAAAAAGAAAAGTGAAATCTTCATGGAACTTCATAATTCCAGATAATAATTTTCCATAACAAATTTGGAAAACAAATCTGCCAAGAATAAACCAAAATAAACTTAAACTCCTTTTATCCAAAATCAAACCTTTATCACAAGCTCAAAAGGTAAATGTAAATGGGTGGCACCCCTTTGGTGCTGTTGATTAATATACTTTTTATACTTTTTATTTTTAAAAAGAGAGAAAACAAGCTTAAAAGGTAAATATTTAGTCAGCTCCAGCCGCTCACCATCAACATACGCTCTGAAAGAGGTCGTAATTTACTTAAGGAAACTACCACAGATAATGCATTAACCCAGATTCTTTCTTTTGTATAAATTATTAATGTTATGTTTCTTTTGAGGGTGGCGTCGGGATATTGTTGCCATCAACATTGGAAACCAATGCATAGGTGAGATTTTCCTAATCAAAAGAGAACGCCTATGATCAATAGAAATTCCTTAACATGCGTCTTCCCTTAAATTGGCCACCCCTCTGATTTTGGTACATTTCCGCCAAAAAACTAACAATATTAAGAGAAATTCGGTTTTCATGACGAGCCCACTCAGTTGAGTTACATTAGCTTATGCTAACTAGTACTTCACCACACAATTCAAAGACGATTGTAAAAACTCAAAATCTAAGAACTACCAAATTGAGCTAGCATTAATACGACGACACATTTCTCTCAATAAAGAAAAAAATATAGAAAAAGCAAATTGTCTTAGAGAGGGAAAAGCCACCAACCTCCCGATTTGCGGCGGTTGAGAGCACGATTCCTGCAACAACAGAACAGAAAATTGGCCAAAGAGAAAGATTTAGATCCATTGAAGAGAATGAACAGAGAGAGGAAATTAAAACGAAACCTTTGATTGGGAGGAGCGTATCGCTTCACTGCGGTGCCTGAATCTGCGGCAGCTGGTGCATGGTTTTCCAGCATCTCTCTCTTTTCCTCTCTTTCTATGTGGCGCTGAAAAGATTCACCTTTGAAAATCTCTATCTGAGTCCGTCGACGCTGTAATCGGTGAGACTGGTCTACAGCTAGAGCGGGGTCTGTGGATTTAGACTGCTGTTTTTTCCACGCTCGCCCGCCAGCGCTTACCAGTAACGCGCTCGTACGCCTACAGATTCTTCATTTACGAGGAATTTACAATTAGGTTCTTCGATCTTATACATTTTGTATTATATATTATCTTTTATATTGAGATTTGTTGTATTATAACTTTGTAAATTCTTTTTGACCTCAATAAAAAATATTATACACACTTCACAATTGGTGTAAAAGAATTATAAATTCCAATTAAAAGAATTTCCTCGTTTATAAAAAAACATTCTTTTTCACTGAGATGTATTTATAAATTTAAAGGAATAATAATAAATTATTTTTAAGCGTGGCAAAATATTTAATCATATTCACCCTGCAATTAAATGCTTTATTTTAATTTACACCAAAACTGAGTACTATGAAAATTACAGAAAACTTGTAATATTTTAGGAATACAATCTAATTAGTGTTGTTGCTGTTTGTTGGAAAATTGATCTATAATGATTAATTTAATTAATTATCCATCATACCCTTTTTCTAAAAAAAAAAATATATATATATATATATCTATATATCTACATACATATATATCAACTTCAGTTTTCATAGAATTTTCAATTGTTGTTTTTACTCAAAAGATTTTTATTCGTGTTGTTGTTGTTGTTGGGAAGCTGATAATTGAATTGATGCCAAAGTTTGTAGCTTCCTCTATCCCTCTCCTCTCTCTCTTTCTGGCATTTTCCCACCACGCAAAACTTTCACAGAAGCCTTTTTCTACTGAAGTTTTCTCTAATGAAAGCACCAAGAGAGTGTGAATCGATTTTCTGTATGTTCCTTAATGAGATTGTATAAAAATAATTAATAACTCTGAACTAAAGATGGTTATCAACTGAACAAGTTAAAACACAAAACTGAGACATCCAAATAGGAAAAAATACCTTGGTGTTTTCTCATTAATTATAGTCTTTCAGCTATTAAGATTAGGTCGTGATCAAACCCTGCCACCGCTTGTAAGACTTCACAACCTTCTACAGTATCAAGCAGTGCTGGCTCAACTTCGTCGCTTGAGCTTCCTAATCCAAGCCTGCCATTTTTACCGCAGCCCCAGACAAATACCCTTCCCTTAGATGTAAGAGCAAGGGAATGTACCCGGCCTCCAGATACAGAAGCAGGAGTTTCCCCAGCCAGTCCTCCACCGACAACCTGTGGCAAATTCTCCAGCCCTGTCCTACCAAGCTGATAACTTAGGTTCCATCCCCATGAAAAAACACTCGTTTCACCACCCTCGACGTCAGAGGATTTTGCACGGAAAATAGCTAGAGAATGGCCAAGACCTGATGCTATAGAAATAGGGCAAAAGTTTATGTCCACTGGAAACATGCCCATGTCTTGCTTCACTCTACCCAGCTGACCATATACATTGCTCCCACAGCTCAATAGTGTGCCATTGCCTGCAATTCAGTTACAGCATGAGGACTAGTATATAGTTACAGCATGCAACAGCAATGCGTAGATTGTGTTTACTTACTGCAAAGAACCAAGGAATGATCAAGCCCGCATGCAATATCTACTACTTTGATATTATGCAGTTCTTCCACTAAACAAGGTTCCCAAATTATTGGCATGCTTTTCTCTTTTTCCATCCCTTGTAAGACCAGCTTCTCAGCAATTTCCAGCTTTGAAGCCGCGAGTTCGTGTGCATTTGTAGGTACGTCAATGGTTGAATCCAATGGAGATGCTTCCAGACCAATTCCAATCTTCCCTATCCTACCATCAGCAGAATAACCCCAGCCAAACAATTTACCATTCTCAGTCTGGGCTAATGCATGCCCCCAACCAAAAGATACCTGTCAAAACAAATGATTTAGCAACTTTCTAATCTACAAGGAAAATAGTCTAAAGCATTCTACATGAAACTTGTGCAGTCATTCCAAAATTTGCCAGTTTCACGTACAAATACTTCCACCTTAGGGTCACACCTTAACTACATTTTCTCCTGCTAATGCTTCAACTTTGGATGGAACCAACGCCTCTGTTACACCCTTCCCAAGACCGAGCTGTCCCCTCTTGGATTTCCCCCAAACCCACAAAGAGCCATCATCTCCAATGGCTGCAGAGATAACACCAGATGCAAATGCAGCACGCACTTTTACCTGATCTAGCCCTTCTACCTTTTTTGGTTCATTCCATGTATCTCTGTTTATAATCAAAACATTAGAAAAATAACCCATTTACACTTTCATGTGAAGGTTGCAGGCAGCAACTCAGTGATATCATTTAGTTAAGCTCATGCTAAAATCACAAATGGCTGACGATCAGAGTTTGGAACCGGAAGAAAAGGATGTAAAAATCAACCACCTCATCAATGTCAGCATGCATTTTCTACTCATAAAAAACGATTTATTATAACAGACTGAGCTCAGCCCGACTTTTAAGTCCTCCCCTCTTTATCAAGAGAGCGAGCGTTCGACTCAGAGAGAAAAAAAGGATTTTCAATATGAATCACAAAACAAACAATTAGCAGACACGACAAAGAGATCCATTTGCCAAAGACCATTAAGGAGTTCGAATTTGAAACTGAACGGAAGACGTAATCAATAAAACAAATAAATCAAAGAAAACCCTTCAGCCAAAATTTAAAGCTAATGAGAAAAGATGAGAACTTAACCGCTGGATTACCTGGGGTTAAGTGGGCCTCGGCCGAGCTGGAATTCATCGTTGCGGCCCCAAGCCCAGAGATCGCCACCGCAAGTGACGGCGAGGGAGTGGTAATGGCCAGCAGCTACAGCGGAGATATCGCTGGGTAGGTTCGGGACGCGACTGGGCTCATAGGCATCGGCGGCGAGGCCTGTTAAAGATGCGGGCAGGCCCAGAGCCCCCTGGCTGCCATCCCCGAAGCTCATTACCGCTCTGTTACTCTCATTGCTATCGATACTGCTACAACTCATACGTCTTCCCCTGTAATTTATATTGAACAATTCATTTAAATGGAAATTGGAAGCAAGCGACGACGTCCTGCTTCCCAGTAATCGGAGCCGGAGCATTTCGGTTGCGTGAGTTTAATTTACTCACCTTTCTGGTTCCGGAACCAGGAGCATCTTGTCTTACCCTTCCCCACCCTCGTATATTTATTTACACACTTGACTTGTAAATACATAAAATGGTGAAAAATATTATTAAATATTTATTTTCATATATCATATATATATATATATTATTTTGATTGTAAATATATAAAATGAAAAATAAATTTATTTCCCATATAATGATAATAAATATTTTATAATCTTTTACACTAAAAAGACAGTATAGCAACAAAATTCTCTCTGCATTTTTTTTTTTAAAAAAATCAATCACAAATTATATATTATATATAAGAGCAAATTACAAAATGGTTTTTAGATTCTGGGCTCGGTTGTAATAAGATTTATTAATCTTAAAAATAGACAATTCAATCATTATGTTTTGAATAAATACTATGACTAATTTAATTAAGCCCAAAACATAAAACTTTTGTATTATTAATGATTTTAGCAAATATAGAAAGTTCTTATATCCCTCCATTCAGACCACCAGGCTTGAGCCAACTTACTTACGGGTTGGGTTCGCGGATCACGCCATCACCTGTTTTAATGTCCTTAGCCCAGCTCAGCCGGCCATTTAAAAATACTGCAGTAGCTCAGCCCACTTAGCTCAAACCAAGCTGCCCTGCTTTTTTAAGGAATATTGGGCTAGCAGAACTATAATCCTTATTTACCCTAAAAATTACTTATAAAATGTTCTGTAAGTAAATTACTTAAAAGCAGTTAAAAGAAGAATGGAAGGGGTAATTTTTTTTTTTTGTTAGTACAATAAATAAAATTATTCTTCATGAAACAAAATGAACTAATATTCACACGTGTTGAATAATAATTCAAGTAATCCATTTTGAATACGGGGGAATTTACATACAACATAATTGCATTATGTATTCATAGAAAAGAAATTAAAATCCAATGCATACGAAAAACCATTTGATCGTGCATAGATTCTTTTGGACCCAACATGAATAATAATGGTGGAGAGTGTGCCAGTTGGCAATTAGAAATCAGTAAGAGCAATATCTCTTATCCAGTCAAATCAGCCACGTGTATAATGATTGTTGGACAAGCAGATCCTAATCTAATCTGGAAAAAAATTACTTGGGCTCCCTCTCATATACACCAAACATTTTTCTGAAGCCCACGATCAGCTTCATAAGTTGGCGCTTATTTTCCTGCCTCTGTTTTCTGAGTTCAACACACAAAACTTCACTCGAGAAAATAACAAATGGCAACACAAGCACTTGTATCTTCTTCTCTTAGCTCCTCCGTGGAGACCGCCAGACAGATTCTAGGAGCAAGACCAGCACATTCTCCAACTGGTTGCTCAAGAAGGGGATCCTTCGTTGTCAGGGCAGCTTCTACTCCTCCTGTTAAGGTCTCTCTCTCTCTCTCTCTCTCTCTCTCTCTCTCTCTCTCTCTCTCCACAGTTGCTCTTTTAGGCAGAATCAGATTCAGACTTCATTTATTAGCATAGGCTTTAATGATGTTTTGTGATGTGATTTTCAGCAAGGAGCAGACAGACCCTTGTGGTTTGCATCCAAACAAAGCCTTTCTTACTTGGATGGCAGGTAATCTCTGCATCCGTGGAATCAACAAATGATCCTATTTCTAGTTTTTTCTTGCTTTTATAGTATTGATGGGTGCTATGAATCTATTTTGCAGCCTTCCCGGTGACTATGGATTCGACCCACTAGGTCTGTCAGATCCTGAAGGCCCCGGAGGGTTCATCGAGCCAAAATGGTTAGCTTATGGCGAGGTCATCAATGGCCGGTATGCTATGTTGGGTGCAGTGGGTGCTATTGCTCCTGAAATTCTGGGCAAGGCTGGCCTCATTCCACCAGAGACAGCTCTTCCCTGGTTCAAAACTGGTGTGATCCCACCAGCTGGAACATACAACTACTGGGCAGACCCTTACACGCTCTTTGTCTTTGAGATGGCACTCATGGGTTTTGCGGAGCACAGGAGATTCCAAGACTGGGCTAAGCCTGGCTCCATGGGGAAACAGTACTTCCTGGGTTTCGAGAAGTTTTTGGGGGGATCAGGAGAACCGGCTTACCCAGGAGGACCACTCTTTAACCCTCTTGGGTTCGGGAAAGATGAGAAGTCGCTCAAGGATTTGAAGCTCAAGGAGGTGAAGAATGGGAGACTGGCAATGTTGGCTATCTTGGGATACTTTGTACAGGGTCTTGTAACAGGAGTTGGACCATACCAAAACCTTCTTGATCACTTAGCTGATCCCTTCAACAACAATGTCTTGACAAGCCTCAAGTTCCATTAAGATAGCTTTCTATTTGCTTTTCGGAACTGTTCCATCACCAGCCCCTGCTTTCTCACTCTCTCTTTCTCCCTCTCACACTGTCTAGTCTTTGTTCATGTCCTGTTGAAATATCATGTGAAGAAATCATTGTAATTTGTAAGAAATTGACATGGTAATGCCTAAATTTGTACTCCTTACTCCTTAGTGTTTAAACCATTTCACTCTTTTAAGCCTGAACCTTTGTAGCATCAGAAATTCAGAGTCCATTAAGTAAAGTAAAATAGAGTGAACAGCCAAAACACTAATGAAACTGTGGATTAATGATTAAATGCAGCAGTCTCATATACTTACAGGAGAACTAAAACCCTCAAATAAAAAAGTGTCAATGAGATATTTATAATGGAACTTAATAATCTATTTTCTCTCCAAAATCAATGGAGCAATGTGATTTTTGTTATATTGGAACCAAGTTGGCTCAGTTGCTTATAAAATACTTAATTATCTAGAAAGAAAGATACTCATTAGAAAAGTAGAGACAAGACTGCACTACCATTAGCAGTCCATGTCGAGACGAATTGCATGACAAAGCTTGACCTAACTTATTAACTAGTTACTGGCAGAACAGAAACTTACCGCTGTGTAAAGAAACAAGAAGAGAAAAAGGAAAAGAAGACAACATAAACTCATCCAATGGCCAGGATTTAATAGGGGCTGCATTTCAGGCTGCGCAATAATTAAAGAGTGAGATCCAAAGAATTCAGAGATCATCAACCGCCAAAAGCACCAAGAAAGCTTTCAACTTGGTCTAAGGTGATGTTCTTAATATTAATCCTGACCATGAGTATTCGGAGGAAGGGTGAGGGTCCCCTAAGCAGCTTGAGCCAAAGGTTCATCAGCCGATGATTCTAGCCTGCAAATTATGAATAATCAGTAAGAAAGCACAGAATAGGCCTGCATATAGGAGCTCATTAAACCCAACTTACAAATTGCTGTGAGAATCAAAAGATAATAACATTTAGACTGAATGGACCTGACAAGAACAGCACAGAAATACTGTTCCTGAAGCATTGTTCATTACATCCAGAAGCCGATGGAAGGCAGCCCTTAAAAGTCAATTGACACATGATATATCAAATTAAAGTTTTCTTATGGGAGAAATTACATCAAATACCAGTTAAGTGCAAGGATTGTTATTATTATTATTTAAAATACTTTACTAATTAATTATTCCCACAGTCAATGCTTGTGCTCATTTTAGGGTTTATACAAATTATTACATCAATCTGCTCCCAGATTATAAAGTTTACATGGATGAAAAATACCAGAAGGTTCACGAAAAAGTTGTTCAGGAGGTCGTGAAATGGACTTATGATACTGTCCCATCCTAGTAAAGGATTCTAGCGTTTTGTTAATGAGTGGGCCCAAAAGAATGGGAGGGCTTAACTCACCCTTCTCCAACAAGTCTTTAAAGTTTTAACACAAAGGAATAAACATGTAAGACTGCTAAAACCGGTGCATTCCTACCTCTGGATTCCTTCTCCTACTTCCATTCTCAGGAAACTGCCAATAGTCACGGGGGCTCCCACTTCCTTTGAAAGATTATTCAAAAGAGTCTGCAGGAAAAAGGATGAAACATCAATCAACACCTTCATCTCAGTTATTATTCATACACGGACATGGATACTTTATATATGATAGAAAACCAAAAATTTCCTGCATCTTCACATGCAGGCATTTGACAAATTTAACAAGATTCACCAGGACTTATCACTAAAAGAATCCTCCAATAACACATTGTGTTAGCCAAAATTTAACATAATAAACAATTCCAATTAATATTGAAATTTTTATCTTTAGAATTCTAGCAGTATACTAACTAATATTGGAAGATAATTTTTATTGATATGTAAATAATTAACATTGAAGATTAAAGTCAAGCACAGCAAACTCTCATACCTTTACATTTACTGTATCATCAACAATAAACTTTTGCTCCATAAGAACAACTTCTTCAAAGTATTTACGCAGACGACCTTCTACCATTTTCTCTACTGCCATCTGAGACTTTGCTGTACTTTCTGCCTGTCATACATTTCAATGGAAAAAAATTAGTTTTCTGCACAATTTTAAAACTAAGATCTAACCCAATCCCACCATGTCCATTTTAAATTTCAGGAAAAGCCCCAAGAACATGTAAATTTTAAATGGAAACTCATACAACCAAATTTTAGATATTAAGTAAGATGTAAGGGGTAAATAAGTATGTAAGCAAAGCAAGGTAGATAAAACTAAAAAGATCATATTGACTGATTCCAGGATGTAGCTATTCAATTACATTAAGCAAAACAATGGATACTGAGAACCAATAACAACTCAAGTCAATCAAGAGGGAAATATAATACCTGCGACTTCAAAATTTCACGCTCACTTTCTAATGCCTCGGAGGGGACAAGTTCCTTGGCCAAGAATAATGGCTTTGCCGCCACTACATGCATTGCCAGTTCGGACCCAACACATTTCACAGCATCCAATTGAAAATTCTCACCCTCTACTTCAAGAGATAAAATAGAAGCAATTCGACCCAAGCCTGTAGATGAATTTGTACTCCGTGTCAAATTGTGTAGCACATTGGATCATACATTTTAAGTCTAGAAAAGGCATCAACAGATAATACTCAAGATAGCATCTCAGTAAGAAAATTCAAATTCAATCATTTTTATTCACATGTGGAGACAAGTGCATGCAAAAACTTGTCTGTCAAAACAAGGAAATAAAGTAATTCATTAACACTGCACCTGGTTGTGGGCTTGTGTGGAGATAGGTAGAAACAACACCATTGGACGCGGTAGATAACACAAAGCCCCTTCTAAATTTTACATGCTCCCCCATCATTGCAGCTACTTCTGTGACTGCATTCTGAACAGTTGTCTCTCCGCTTATTTTTGGATGATCTAGATTTAACTTCAAGTCCTGGAAGAAATCAAATGATTCTATCATAGCTACTAAAGGATAGCAATTCAAATTAGAGGTCTATATGTATTAATGGCAGCAATGCATACTAAAAGTTATACAGTTTGTTGACATCCTTCTATAGTTTGGTTTTTGATGTTTATGGATAAACTAAATCGAGGAAGAACATTCAATGAATTTTTTTTTACCAAAATAATGAGGTTCAGCCAATCAGCAGCACACAAATACTGATATAGTTTGATAAAGGAACATTTTTTGAATTTTGGTGCAGGTTTCCAGGTTTTAAAGAATGAAAGGAACATAAGAGAAAAAAGAGTCTGAGAAATCTCCATAGATTACATGTATAGAATAAATCTTTCAAGGTTGTCATTGGATCCATTAGATGACATTCTGAAGAGATGATTACTTCTATATCAAGGTTTTCCGTAAAAGCGCGAAGCCCAGCCAAGGTACTTAGAACATTGTTCTTTACCTTAGCAGATCGATAGGAATTTGCATTGAATACTGAAGAAAAGAAATTAAGAAAACTTTCTATCTCCTTATAAAGAAATAAAACATGATTCAGCATGCAAATCTCTGACCTCCAAATGTTCAGGCCCAAAAGGGAAGACCCCAGAAACTTGCTGAGAATTGTTCTCAATCAGCAAAGTTTGCTTTGCCAAAGACAATGCCTGCAAGAGACAATAAAAAACTAAATGAAATACAATCATGCATGATAAAAACATCTCAAAAGAAACAAGTACCGGAAATTAATACTGAACAGTAAGAGATTGCCATAAAAATAAAATTAACAAAAAAAATGCCTTTTATTGAAGAGAAACTCAAAAAGTTAAGAAACTAAGGTTAATTCTAGAACAAATTCAAAAATTGTATGAAATTTATTTGTAAATTCATAATTAGTTCAATTAGAATATGCTGTAGTACGGGAATTCCATATTAAATTATGCATTATATTTAAAATGCATTATTATTTCCAAAAAAAAAAATATTTAAAATGGATTATTCTAATTTGCGTGAAATTTCATATAAACTCTTTTTTCCTATAAAATTTCCTAAAGAATTTTTGTATGTTCTAATTGACTAGGTGGGTATAGAAATATTTTACATAAATTTCATGTTTTTAGATTTGTTCCAAAAATGACCTAAGAAATTTGTATCTGGTGGAAATGCAATCTGAAAACTTGGTTATACTAACCAAGCACTGAAAAATATCGTTCCTTGCTACAAAGTCTGTCTCGCAGTTAAGTTCAATGACAGCAGCCTTTCCCTTGCACTGCGCCAAAGCCAGCAGTCCCTCTGCAGCAGTTCGTGATGATTTTTTGGATGCCAAAACCTTCCCCCTCTTCCTCAAATCCTTCTGAGCCGCCTCTGTGTTCAAGGCCCGATCCAATTCACAAACCACAATTCACCAAAACCAACAAAACTTTAGAATCAAAACAGAAAAGACAAATGGTTTTTTATGGAGATACCAATATCCCAATTGCATTCAACAAGAGCGGCTTTGACGTCTTTAATAGGAGCACTGGTTCTTTCTCGTAATTGCTTGATAAGATTCATTTGCTGAGCACCAGGAGGAGCTTCCGCAGTGAATCGCCGCGAACAAATTCCAAACGATTCAGAATATTTGGATAAAAACGAGGCGTTGGAGATACCAGTAGATTGAGATATGACAGTCCCTTTGCTTGCAAAAGTCGAATATCCACGGCCAGACCTACTCAGCTTAGTACTAGCATATATTAACATCCCAAGAGGACGCTTTGCAGCTCTAGTAAAAGCCATTTCAGTGTCTCTCTATTAGCCAGCGATCAATCTATGCATTTGAATAACAAAGATGCAAAATCTCTCAGAATAGAGCAATTTGAGAAACAAAAAAAAAAAAAAAAAAACCCTACAAAAACTAAGGTTTAAGGTAGGATTTTTGCCAGGGAGAAGGAAGCAATAAAAGAAAATCACTAATAGAAGATTAAGAAACGAATTTCATAGCGGCTTCAGATTTCAAAAGCAACTAACCTCGAAACCAGTAATCAAGGTGGAATTGCTCGACACTGAAAGACAGAAAAGAGAAGCTGATCTAATTTCTCCATTAACCAGCAACGCTGCGTCTTGACGTCAACTCTATCAGTAAAGTGGGCCGAAACAGTGTGGCTTTGTTACTTCAAAACAAATGGGCTGAGCCCAAAACGCACACTTTTCTGTCGTTTTATCATATCCAGAAATGCAGTCACGTATTATAAACTCATGGTCTCCTTCGAATCTCCGGTCTCTAAAAATTCTTTGGTGTTTTTTTTTTTTCCTTGAAATAAGAAAATTCCCTACGCTTTGATGGAGAATTGAATAAATAGAGAACCGACTTTTACAGTTATTTAGCAGCCAAGCGAGAGAGAAAGAGGGACCTCTGCTTCCTCACCACGCGTAGACAGCTACATCTACTGGATCTCTTTGGATCGGATCCTTCCCGACCCGAACCCTCTAGATCTGTCTCAGGTACGTCCTTAATCTCTCTATTTCGATGAATGTCTGTACATAATTGTGACTATGTGCCTGTCTTAGATCCATGGTTGTTCTTGGCATTTGGTTAGGTCAATTTTTATTTTCGTTTATTCCAGGAACTTTATTGTTATTAATTCTTTGCATTATGTTCTGATCTATTTGGTTTACGCATTGGTACTATTCGATTTTGATTTTGATTTAGTCTACGGGCGTTTTGGGTTCTTGTTGTCTATTTTGCATGTTAAGTATTCGATCTCGATTGGCACTTATTCACTGTTAGTTTTCATCTGCTTAAGTTATAAATTCTTGCTGCGAAACATGTTGAAAGAACCGTTTTACATGCGCCAATATATGAGAAGATATGATGTAAATGTTGCATCTTTAAAATGTTAGAGCATTTGATGCTTCAATGAAACGTTTCGGTAATAATTTTGTCAAAACTGACCGTTATAACTTCTAATTTCTGTAGATTTGATGCTGAATGCTTCTGTTAGAGTAGCTTAGATCAAGCTGCATCAGAGATCTGCTTTACTTTTGATGAATTTCTTGACGACACTGAAGGGGAAAATGGTTTCTATGTACCAAGTTTTCCTCTTTGCTCTTTTGTTTGTGTGTGTTTGCGATGGGTTTTATCTTCCCGGGAGCTACATGCACACTTATTCAACTGGTGAATCCATATATGCCAAAGTTAATTCCTTGACTTCTATAGAAACTGAACTTCCTTTTAGCTACTACAGTCTCCCTTATTGCAAACCATTAGGTGGGATTAAAAAAAGTGCTGAGAATCTTGGAGAGCTCCTTATGGGAGATCAGATCGATAACTCTCCTTACCGGTTTCGCATGAATGTCAATGAATCTGTCTTCCTCTGCATCACCAATGCATTGAGTCAGCATGAGGTTAAGCTCTTGAAACAGAGAACCCGTGATTTATATCAGGTGAATATGATTCTGGACAACTTGCCTGCAATGAGGTATGCAGTGCAAAATGGAGTCAAAATTCAGTGGACTGGGTTTCCAGTTGGTTATACCCCACCCAATAGCAATGATGATTACATTATCAATCACCTTAAGTTCAAGGTCTTGGTTCATGAGTATGAAGGGAGTGGTGTTGAGATAATAGGTACTGGGGAGGAAGGTATGGGTATCATTTCTGAAGCTGACAAGAAGAAAGCATCTGGATATGAGATTGTTGGTTTTGAGGTTATACCCTGCAGTGTTAAGTATGACCCAGAGAAGATGACGAAGCTCCATATGTATGACAATGTTCCCTCTGTGAACTGCCCCTTGGAGCTTGAGAAATCTCAGATAATAAGAGAACAGGAAAGAGTATCCTTCACTTATGAGGTTGAGTTTGTGAAAAGTGACATCCGGTGGCCATCTAGATGGGATGCTTATTTGAAAATGGAAGGTGCTCGTGTTCATTGGTTTTCTATCTTGAACTCTCTTATGGTGATTTTCTTCTTAGCCGGTATTGTCTTTGTCATATTCCTAAGGACTGTAAGAAGGGATTTGACAAGGTATGAGGAGTTAGACAAAGAAGCTCAAGCACAGATGAACGAGGAGCTCTCTGGTTGGAAGCTTGTTGTCGGTGATGTCTTTAGAGAACCAGATTGTTCAAAGCTTCTCTGTGTGATGGTAGGAGACGGGATTCAGATTACTGGGATGGGTGTTGTTACAATTGTTTTTGCTGCCCTCGGTTTTATGTCACCAGCTTCACGAGGAATGCTGTTGACAGGGATGATAATTCTTTATCTTTTCTTGGGTATTGCTGCTGGCTATATTGGTGTTCGGATGTGGAGAACAATAAAGGGAACTTCAGAAGGGTGGAGGTCCCTTTCCTGGTCGATTGCGTGCTTCTTTCCTGGAATTGTCTTTGTTATCCTTACAGCGTTAAATTTTCTTCTATGGGGCAGCAAGAGTACTGGTGCTATTCCCATTTCTTTGTACTTTATACTCTTGTCCCTCTGGTTCTGCATTTCAGTGCCACTTACCCTTTTTGGAGGATTCTTAGGGACACGAGCTGCTGAGATTCAATATCCAGTGAGAACCAACCAGATACCTAGGGAGATTCCTGCTCGCAAATATCCATCGTGGCTTCTTGTCCTTGGTGCAGGGACTCTTCCATTTGGAACACTTTTCATTGAACTTTTCTTCATTCTTTCTAGCATCTGGCTTGGAAGGTTTTATTATGTCTTTGGATTCTTGTTGATAGTTCTCTTGTTGCTGGTTATTGTTTGTGCTGAAGTCTCAGTGGTCCTAACCTACATGCACCTCTGTGTAGAGGACTGGCGGTGGTGGTGGAAGGCATTTTTTGCTTCTGGTTCAGTTGCACTCTATGTGTTTCTTTACTCCATCAACTACTTGGTTTTTGACCTACAGAGTTTGAGTGGGCCAGTGTCGGCTATGCTTTACATGGGTTATTCACTTATTATGGCAATTGCTATCATGTTGTCTACTGGCACCATTGGTTTCCTCGTGTCCTTTTACTTTGTTCATTATCTTTTCTCATCTGTGAAGATTGATTAAAAGCTAAATTTAGTGATCTTCACTGGCCTGTTGGAGAAGCTTCTGTCATATAGGAAGAGAAAGTTGGCTGGTCATTATTCTTTTACAAAGTAACCTTTGGTATCCAACCATGTTGCACCACATTAAGATGGCTTGCGAGTATCTGTTTGATCGCATTAATACTTTCTTTGTTTTTCTGTTCTTTTTTGGGATTAGAGGACTAGTTAGTTTTAGGAATTACAATTTTCAGTTGGATTATCACCTTGTCCTGCAGTGCCAGCAGTAGCCTCTTGTCTTCCTAGTTGCTAGCTATGAACTTAAGTTGAACTACATATTCCTTTATATTTTGATATTTGGAGAAAATTGTAATTGAATGGATATTATATAATTGTATTTTCTCTTACTTTAGCTACTGAAAGAAAGATTCATTTCTATTTCTGTTGATTTCATAATTGGCATCTTGGATTTGTTGGTTGATTTCATGTATGCCCGCAGCGATTAAAGTTAGGTTTGGTTTGACATTGAGTATTGGTCATTACCATTTCATGAAGCTCTTCGGATTTGGCCTAGCTTTGGTTCTGATTGTTAAACTTTACACCTAATTGTTATATTGGTATCAACATGAATAATTTTCAACACGAATTGTATCCTTAAATTTGTCAATGATCAAAATTGTTCTTTTAGGTTTTGGTTAGCTCAGCAAATGGGTTTGTCCAACATTTTGTTGTTGCAAGTATATCAGTCTCGTGTGTTCAGTAACAATCTCTACTTTGCTCGAATCCTTCTGACTTGGACCAGACTAAGCTTCGTCTTTTCAGTAAAAGTTTTGCTTAACTAATTGTGATGGGCAAGCTAGACCAACTGGCTTTTTTGGGCTTAGCACAAACTTGTCCATTTTTTTTGTCTAAAGTCCAACTTGACTCGAAAAAGATTTAAAATTTATTAGTAAGACGACTAATATAAATATAAATAAAATTAATAAAACAATTAAAATGAAATAATTAAAATATTAATAAAATAAATTAAAATGAATAAAAAGTATACTTCTCCGGCTATGAGACCCGACAAGTCCGAGTCCAGCACATCATGGGGCTGGCTAATATCTAAAATTTTCTTAAATTTTGTTGTAATATATATGTTCACAATAGTGAATAGACTAAAAGTACATTAAAATTATGATATCTTGTATTATTTTTGATAAAAATATTATTCTTTTCAAATTAAAAAAAAAAAAAATTGTAAAAAAATCCAACCGTGTATAGATAAGATTTTAATGCTTTTAATTTTTATGTCTTGTAAATTGTGTGAAGGCTATTGAAAATATTTATACATGCAGGAGAGTAAAAGGAAAAAATTAAAAGGTGGTCTCAGTCCTCAACAGATAGTCAAGATATTAATTAAATAGATTAATAATAAACAAAAAATATAGTTCTTACGACAAATCCAAGCTCAGTACATCATGAAGTAGGCTAATATTTAAATTTTTTCTTAAATTTGGACTTTACATACCTCTCATATCTAAGGCACAGGTAAATTGTAATATTTTATATTATCTTTGGTAAAATAGTTATTTTTTTCAAATTAAAAAAGTAATGCTATTATTTTTAAGTTTTAGAGTATCATTTTAAAATTTTAATAAATATTTATTTTAAAGAAAAATTAAACAATTTTTATTTTTGTCTTATCCTTTAAAAACCGATAAGACAACATGCTATAAAAATTCAATGATATTTTCAGCAAAAAGTATTTGAACGATATAATATACAATAATTAAAATATTACTTGAATACATTAAAAATAAAGAAAAAATATAGTTCTCAGGTCGTGAAACCCAACAAGTCCTAGCTCAACACATGATAGAGCAGATTAATGTTTGAATTTTTTCTTAAATTTAAATTTAATATATTTATTTATAATAGTGAACATACTAAAAATATAGTAAAATTATGATATTTTATATTATATTTGGTAAAAAAAAATTTTAAAAATAAAAAGTACATGCTATTATTTTTATATTTTGAGTTACAATTATAAAAATTCATTGAATACTCTTTTTTTAAAAAAATTTGAAAATATTTTTATTGCTTTCTTATTTTTTTAAAAATAAATAGGACAAAATACTACAGAAGACCAATAATATTTTTAATAAATAGTATTTAAACGAATTAATATAAAATAATTAAAATATTAATCAAATAAATTCAAAATGAACATCATGGAGCAAGCTAATATTTAAACCTTTTTTTTTAAAAATTGAACTTGATATTTTTGTCTATAATAGTGAATAGGCAGGCTAGAGGTATAGTCAAGTTGTAATATTTCATTTTAAAAATTTAATAAATACTTCTTTTAATTTTCTCTTAAACATTTTTATTGTTTTCTTATTCGTTAAAAATCAATAAAACAAAATGTTACCAAAGATCAATAATATTTTCATCAATAAGTATTTAAATAGATTAATATAAAATAATCAAACTATTAGTTAAATAAATTGAAAATGAACAAAATGTAGTTTTTGGGTCTTGAGACCCGACATGTCTGAACTCAGTATATCATGGAGTGAGTTAATATTCGAAGTTTTTCTTAAATTTATTGTAGCGCCCGGACCGAGAAGGAAAAAAAAAAAGCCACGTCAGCAGGCCCGGTCAGCAGTCCCGGCCAACCGGGACTTGCCACGTGGCAAAACCACGTCGTTTCAAAAAGGGCCACGTTGGCGATCCGCGTGGGTGCGATCGGACGGCCCAGATCAAGCGTGTGATCGGACGGCCCAGATTTAAACGCACGGACGGCTCAGATTTAAACGCACGGACGGCCCAGATTTAATCAAAAACGGACGGCCCAGATTAAAACAAAATGGACGGCTGAGATCAAAAGGCAAGGGGTTATAAATAGAACCCCCACACCAGACCACAAACCCTAGCCGCCTGCCGCTCGCCGGAGAAGACGAACCAGAAGCCGGCCGCCGCCACCCGCCGCCGCACCAGAGGAACTTCCGACCACCGATCGAGGTAAATTTCGTACCCCCGACTCGTTTTTCCACGCTGATTCCTCCTGTGGCCAAATCGGAGCCAAAATCCTGGCCAAACGGCCGGAATGCACGGCCGAAGCCCAGCGGGGCCGCCGCGCCCTTCTCGGTTTTTGCCTCCGATGAGGCCCTTCCCGGCCTCCGTTTGATGCAAATTTTATATCACCGTGATCACCACTCTTTTCTCTACAGGTTGATCGGAGCCGAATCACCAAAACACGAACCTCGTCGGAGAGCCGCCGCACCTGAGAGCGCCGCCGCCGATAAGCTCCGTTTTTCCATGATTTTTTGGCCCCCCGAGAGCCCTAGGGTTGTTTTCTCGCAGGGACCGATGCGAGTGTGGCCGAATTCGGCCGAAAATGGCCGAAAACAGCCAACCCGAGGCGAATCGCCGCTGCCAGCGGCGGCGCCGTCGCCGGAGCACGGCGGAGCCGCCGTGCCGGAGTTGTGATTTGGGCCGAAAGGGGCCCTGGGCCTAATTTGGGATTTTTTTTTGGAACACGTGCAGGTACCAGTAGTGCGTTTCAGTTCCCCGAGGAAAATTCAGGAAAAATTAGGGACAGCCTGTAGGCGCACTGTGAAGCCGTGTTCGGACCCCGAAACGAGTAAGGACCCCTCACCCTATTTCCTATCACGGTTTTAAAGTTCAATAAATGATAAAATGGTATTTCATGAATCAACGAATGTGTGAAATTGCTTAAGGTCGCTAATGGAGCCTGAATCTAGTGTATTTGTCGGTTAACTGTTATTTGGCCTGTTTTACAGTATTCAATGCAGCATGAGGTTCGATGTTTTCATTTTATAGTTTCGTGTGCATATTGTACTGTTTTATTGATTATGGATTGAATGACTGGGGTGTTGATACTATATGTTGTCTGTTTGGCATAAATTATCGTTTAGCTTGTTTGTATGTGATTGAAAATGCTGACTGAGGGAAAAGGCGAATGAAAGATTATGTGAATGGGTAATTGTATAATATGGTCAGCCTGACTAGATATCCTGGGAGATGGTGGACGGACCGGGTCCGTAGGGAACCCTACCGGGATTGTGGTCTCCCATACCGGACGGGGTATGGAGATCTTATGTGTTTTGGCGCCCATACCGGACGAGGTATGGGGACGGCCCGTTTCACCCTCATACCGGACGGGGTATGGGGACGGTCCGTTTCACCCTCATACCGGACGGGGTATTGAGGTTTATGGTTTTGGCGCCCATACCGGACGGGGTATGGGGACGGCCCTGGAATTCGATGACGAATGTTAAGGATTAACGGGTAGCGGGACCCCTATGGATCCCCATGGATACTAGTGGGCTGGTGAAATTAGGAAAATATGTTGTGAAACTATCGAATTACGAAGAGTGTGATAGGTATTATGTTATACAGTTCATATATATGTTTTCATGATGATGATGATGTTATTGCTTTCGTACATTGTTTTATGAATTTCACCGAGGTAAGTAAATGGTAAAGGTTTTATTTTCGATAAAAGGATTTGTTGTAAATTATGATCCATTGGTCTTTTTGTGTTTTCTACCCACCTTTACCTCCGTGACGGTGAGATATCGTGATGTCTTTACTGGGCTAGTGTAGCTCATTCCTTATTTAATCATTTCAGATCAAGAGGACATCGTTCCCGAGCCACTTCCGCAGGAGGACGACGAAGGGGACGCCTAAGGACTCCATAGTCACATTCGTAGTTTTTACTTTCAAGTTTCTCTTTTAGGTAGTTTAATCTTTTATATTTTGTGAGTATATTTTGGTTTTAGTGTAAGGGATGTTATTCAAATTTTGACTTCGCTTCCGCATTTGATATTTATAATACAAATTCCATTATGAATTACCGGGGCTGTTACAGTTGGTATCAGAGCCGCATTTCCTCGGACCCATCCCTTACACTAATGTGCCTTAGAGAAATACTCACCGATATATTGTTACTCAATCATTCCTTGTGAATGCAGGAACACAGAAATGAGGAGAGGAAGGCCCCCACTAAACCGAGCGGCCCCAGATAATTCAATTCGGGAGGATCTAGATAGACTATTCGAGATGGTGGAGGCTCTCGCAGCTGCCCAACGAAGGCAAGAGGAGAGAAGGGAGTTGCCGGGACCTCCTCCGCTAGCGCAGGTTGAGCCCCCGCTACAGCAGGCTGATCTCGAGCCACCCCGGTAGGAGCCTGTTCCTCTACAATACCACCCGGCACCACAGCCGCGGTTCGATCCGGTACCACAGCCATAGTACCAACAGGTGCCGCCACAGCACATTCCAGTGCCCCCACCACATCAGCAGGCGTCACCACAGGGTCCCCCAGTTCACCCTCAGCCGGCCCCTGTCCCTCTACCTCGGGACCCCGCTCCCTCCTTGATCGACCCCGCTTCATAGAGA